GTGCAATAGAGGTTTCCACTGACCTTTGTAGTTTGTAAAACCGCTTTCCTATGGAGATTAGCAGTTCATAAAAACTAATGGGGGCGGGAGGGGGATTAATTAAAGGCATTTTGTATTGTCCAGTCTGGTAAGACAGAATAAACTAAAAAAACTCTGAACTGCACGTGCTGGTTGGTGAGGGCCCAAGGCAACGGTGACTGTGGACAAGAAGTGATTTCCTGCAGCTCGTAGGAACTGGGATTGGGTCTTTAATGGCTGAAGCAGGCAGGAGCACAGACCTCAGACCCCTGGATTCCAGGGCAAGGCCTTAAGAAAAACTGGAAGGTTTGGTTCTCAGTCTCTCACTACTAAATCAAAACCTTGGTTCCACTTGAGGACGACTCTTGCAGAGCCAGCAGTGGGACCTCCCCCTTCCTCGAAAGCAGCTCCTGTTCACTCTCCCATGGGGACAGTCATATTAGCTCGAATAAGAGGACAATGGAGTGAGGCTCAGGCTGTCACACTTCATCACAGCTATTTTAAAAATAAACTCTGAGACATTTGGTTCTCTCTGGTGCAGTTCGTACCCTTCTGCCAAATTGATCCCTGAGTTGTAGGATTGTGACCAAGTCCCTCCTCTCCCCAGCTTTCTGTGTTTACATGATGTTAAAAACTGAGGGGTAGCACACACTGCTTAGGAAGGACATAAAAAATAGAAAGATACCGATTTGTCATTATCCTCTGAAAACCACAGCAGCACTTTTGCTCTGGTGTGTTGGCTGTTCTGTTTGCTGGGACCTACTGGTTCTGCAGTTGCTGTTTCCAAGGTAGTAATTCTCCACTAGTCCCTTTCGGGCGGCTGTAAGGGAGGACAGGGGGAGCTGCCTTCTCCAGCCTTCAGCTGAGGGCACGAGCCACCCATGTTCACCCTCCCACCACTCACTCCCCCATCCTCACTGTACAGGTGTCTGAATCCATCGTAGTATTCATCGGTTTCCATGGTGTCATCAGGAATTTGGGCTGTGGTAGGTGTGAAAGGTACTAAAACTGGCTGCCTTACAGCAACCCTCAACCTCATTTGATGGGAATTCTTCAATCCAGAAGGGTGGTGGTAGGGTAGCCTTGCCTTGGGATGGCCCTGGATGGCCTGGCTGATGGGATAGAAGATATAAACAGCATTGGATGGCTGCAAGCACGTTAGCTCTTGACCCACAAGCTCTTTGCAGTGGATGAATTCAGTGCTGTTAACCTGTAAGGAAAGATACAGTTTTTTTTGTAAGTTCATGATAAATTACTCTCTCTTCTGGCCACTGCTCTGGTAACTCTGTAATTAGGGAGAGGACAGGGACAGGCTGTACTGGATGCCTCAACAGATGCGTATCAGCAATGTGCATGCTGGCCCTGATGCAAAACAGGTAACCACAAGCTCCTGAGCTACTACATACAAGGGGGGCAAGCGCTCCCTCTTTTTAGGAGGCGACAACAGTCAGGAGGGGCAGCAGGAGGTTAGGTTATTTCAGACAAATTCATGGTAAGGTGACAGCCTGGGTCTTTAGCCTTCTAGGTATGCTCTCTTAAAAGGCATGTGTTTTATGGAACTGGAGAAAAGCTTTAAAAAAAAAACCCCAAAAAACAGAGCTTGCCTTTAATGTGTGTCATTAGCAGCCAAATTGATTGTATTTAATGTAACTGTACTTAGAATTTCTCGCAGTCTTCAGTGGGAGGCTGGGGACACAGCGGGCAGGTTTTTAGGTGCTCTCAGACACTCCCATTGTGGGAGAATCTCTCCTTGCTCAGCAGGCAGGGAGCTATCTGTGGCCAAGCAATTTGGAAACCTCCCTTCCCTGCCAAAGGGAAAGCCCTCTCCCCAGTCCCAGCCCTTGATTGCAGTTTTATTCCCTCTCTTGTTAGCACTAGCAAGGTCTGCAGCGAAGGCAGGACACGGACACATGCTTCTCAGAAGGCTGCTAAAGTGCAATGTTGGTTGTAAATACACATGCGCTTTATTAATTTATCAGTGTCCTGGCCTCAAGATTTGTGACCAAAGGCCATTTTGATTCCTACCTGTGCTTTTTTTAGCAGATCAGTAATAACAGGAAACCACTCAGGAGTCAGCCTCTCCAGCTCTAAGGTGATGATCACCAAAGCCAATGTGGAGCCCTTAAACTGCAATAGTTGGTGGCACGCCATACAGTGCTGTAGCTGTTTGGTCAAGAACGCAACATGGCGGGAAGGATTCATCTGAGGCAGCCCATGTAGTAGATGGGGCCAGTTGGACATCACCATGGCATGGAACTGGAGAGAAGATAAAGTATATATTTTTTAGAGGTTAGTGAACTTTGTATGTTTTCATATGTTATCAAGCAGAAGTACAGACTAATTTCATCTCATATCAGGAAGCCCAAAGGGTTCCCCCCCTCCTTTTTTTTTTTTTTTGTGTTTTGTGTTTGTACTTGCCAACCATTGAACTGTTTTTTTGAGCTTATAATGAATGTACAAGGTCTGTGTTTCCTAACAATTTCTGAAGTTTCTACGTTATCCAGATTGCTATCCAGCAGATTCAATTCAGGCCAGCAGATACGTATAGAGTAAAACCAATAATAATGACTGCACTCTGAATTTCCTGAGGAAACAAGCACCTAAGAAAGGCAGTTTTCACAATCAGCAGCCTAAGATGGCTTAATATTTGCACATAACCTTAAAAAAGGGATCCAGGATGTGTTCGTATCACATGATTTTTGCCTTACTAGCACATGATCGTTTCTTGAAGACAAAGTTTAATTGTTTCTATCAAATGTTTAGTAACTGCAATGTGAACTAAGTGCCAGATTGGGGTAGTCTCATTGCCTAAAACAAGGGTGAATATTTAGTGGGGTGAAAAGGAAAATGGTTTAATAAAAAACCTGTGTGTGAAATGTAGCAAAACTCTGACAGCTTTCTATGTACAGTATTAATAGAATGGAAACAGTTAGAAATATTTTTGCAGTGTGTATTTAAAAAAATGAAAATGGCGTATAGTTGTGCATTATAAGAATCTTTTTAATGTCCATTTTAGTTGTCCTTTAAAGACGGGGGTAAATTTTTTGAGCAAAATAAAAGGTTTTAATAGTAGAAAATTTTAAAAATAAATAAAAAACATCACTAACATTCTTCAGAAGACTTGCAGATAGCTAAGAACAGGTAGTTTGCAAAGCATCTTGGGAAGGATGTGTGGGTGTGTGTATGTGTGTGCATCTGTGTTTTCTAGTCTTATTTGATAAGGAGCTGTTTCTTTAAAGAAAAAAAAAATTTGCAAAACTTAGTGCTTACAATGTTTAAGAAATCCATTGGTGTTGCTGTGTAAAGATCCCAATGAAGCTTATCTAGTATAATTCTTTCCATTCTCAAGATCTCAGCTGGAGAGCGTTTACAACCACTCTGCACTGCGAGCATCTTCACCGATGGTATTACCTGTAAAAAAAAAAAAAAAAAAATTAAAAATAATAAAGAAGCCAACGTCCTATGCAGTGCTGTGTGTGTTTCTCTGTATTGCAAAGGGATCTGGCAAGTTTATATGCATGCCAAAGTGCTAAGCAGAATGCTCGCTGAGGAGACCCACTTTCCTAGGTAACTCCCATCCTAAATGAAGACTGGTCCATGCTCGCCACAGTGCAGCTGGCTATGAACCCACAGCAAAAACGATGCTGTTCACCTCCTGGGTCACCCTCAGCCTCCTTAATGCTGCATCGGTGATGCATGTTCCCTGCTACCAGCCTCGTTAGTTTTGCTCCTCTGACAAGGAGGCTTCCTGTTGGCCTGTTTTACAGGGCCTTCTGTGGTTGTCGTTTCCTGCGGTCATTGACTCAGCTTCTCCTTTTTAGCTGAGGGGAAAAGAAGAATAACCTCAGTGTGACGCATCCTGAGAAAGGCAACGAAGAGCATTTCACTACGGCAGAAGTTGTTCAAAGAGACATGCATGTCTGACTCCCAACTCCTAGGTTTCCTGTTCTTTTTCAAAACAGAATGAAGGCAAGAGGAGAAATGCAATCTGAAATGCTTTTGGCTCATGTTTGTAAGTGTCTGAAGAAGTCTACCAGTGCAATTCTGCCATGAGAGGTTATCCTGTGTAATCTCACACTTACATGGGTAGTTGCTGATTTTACACGCTCACCTTGAGGTGCAGACCGGAGTCATTTCCTTGCCAGGTTCAGAAACCAGTTTCGACTCTAAGCAAACTCACCTATCTTAAGCTTTCTCTGAAGAACCTCTGCTCTGTCTCGCCTACCTTACCCTCCCAGGACCTATAACAAGGAATTACAGCACTCTGATGTTGTGCGCACAAAACTGTGCGTCTGCATCTTGACTGTCCCCCCCAGGCTAAGCTTTACTGCGAGCTGTGGATTCTGAAGAGGGGAGAGAGGTTTAAGGGCAGGAGGAGGGAAACACATCCATTACATAAGCAAACACAAGTCCTTCATCCATAAAGGTCACAATTCTTCCAAGCAACGATGAAAACGTTACTGTCACCCCTTAAGGACTACTTAGGGTAAACAAGTTAGCACTTCCTCATTATGCCCAAGTTGCTGAAAGACCTGGAAACGTGAACAACTTGAACACAAAAGATGAGTTTAGCGTGTTCAATTTTAAACATACAGACCTCATCTTCTTCGTTGGTTTTTGCTGCAAGGACAAGGCAGGAAATTGCTATGCATTGAAGATATTTTAATTGGGCCTGAAGGGAGAAGAAGAAAACACTGAGTAAAGAAGATAACAGTCTTGGGGGAAATAACTGTCATTCTATGACAGATGCACAAGTTTCAAACTTTCATTTAAGTTACAGTTGCTTCTGAATTAATCTAGCTGCAGAAAGATTAATTTGAAGCTGGAAACAGAGCAAGGAAATCCAAAGTGAAACAAAATAAATCCTCCTCTGGTGCACTTTTTATTCACGTATCCCACAATTTTTAGACTACGCAATGCCACAGTATTTACAATGTGATGTTATTCCTCTTCTTAGCTATTAGTTAATATGCTTTTGCCAAATGCCATTATCGGTCTAAGTAGAACTGAGAGCTGCAAGGCTCAGTTTAACTCATAACTTTGTGGTTGCTTCAACAGCAGAAAAAGTTGGCCCCACGGTTTATTTAAAAATAGTGGTTTCAAAACTAAAGTATTACAAGTGATAATGCAAATGTTTTCTGTTTAGCAGAGACAACCAGATGATAATGAGTTGTTTGTATTTATCACAGCATTTGGACAATTGACACAAACACTTCTACCAAGGACTGTAAATCAGTGGAACTTCATCAAACACTTGAGTTCATATATATATATATATATGCTTAAAAGCCTCCCCCAGCAACTGCTCCCTAAATCTGCTGCCAAACATAGTACCTGCTTCGTGTATAAACTGATTACGTACTCCTTACATCCCCAATCAGTAATCTAGCCAGAAAAAAAAGCTGACGGATTCTCTACCTTCACTGATGCCAATAACCGGTTAAGGATGCTGGTAGCTAAGGCAAATGTTTCAGGGTAAAACTGGAACTGAGAACTTATTTCTGCAATCCAGAGAACCGCTTTCTTGTAACACAACAGCGAGATATCTGTGCCCTGAGGGGAAGAAAAAGTTAGAAGAAAAATACAGTTAGTGCTTTGATGATTTTGTTAACATATCTCCAAAGGAAGACTCCAATCATTCTAAGTGCTCTAATTAACATTTCAGATGTCTGGAGGCTTGAAATGAAGAAAGTTGTTGGCTGTGCCTACAGAGTGAGGGGAAGGGCAAATTTCGGAGCAGTTTAAAGCACTCATTCGCGTTGCCCACCCAGTCAGGCTCTAGCTGTGCTTACAAGGGCCCGGTACTGGATTGTACTGGAGTACTGAACGGGGAAGCACCCAGCACTCCCCTTGCACAGTCCGTATGAACCACCAAACTGAGCTCTTACAAACAAGGTGCTGAGTGTGCTCGTTATTTCCCTCTCCTGAGAAAATCAAAGCCTCCAATGCAGCACGTGTTTCGTTCAGACAGCCTCGACAGGGAGAGAGAAACTGGAGTCAGGAGCAGGTTTCGATTTACTCTGCAAGATTTCTTTTTTAACAGCCCTTGACTCTGCTTAGCGTTGGGACCACAGAAGCCAGGTTTATGACTCCCCCAAGGCACAAGGCAAAATGCACTCAGTTCTTTCTTTCTTGTATCTTACTTGAAGATGCATTCAGGTAAGAGGAAGGACTTTACTCCGGCTGCCATTACAATGCCACATGACCCATGGCACATATTTGAACATTATTGCAGGAGAACTGAAAGGGCCGAGCAGCTACACAGAACAGACAACATTTACCACCAATTTGTTTAATATTACTCACTGCATTATCCGTTTCACTATTTTGCTTTATTTGGTAGTAAAAATACTTGGTAGAAAATAGCATTTCTACACTATTGCAAAAAAGAGACAAGGGTGATGGGGCACTTTTGTGCATTCTTCCATGAATCTGATGCATTTTACAGAAGCAGCTGAGCATAACTGTTTGCATTGTACACAGAGGGCCATTAAGTGTTGTAGCTTCCTAAGGTAGCAGACCAACTCGCTTTAGCAGCCGGGAATGGGGCTGGGTTTCTGTCAGGCCTCAGTGAATTCCCTTTTCTCCCATCTGAACAGATAGGACTCAAAGATGGCGTCGAGCACAATTAACTCTAACGCGACATATTTATGGCTTTACTATCGATTGTCTGCTCTTACCTGCTCCACCAGATTTCCCCAAACTACCTGAGTCAAAACAAAGTGCAAGCACCTGGTTTACATGGGGCATTAATAAGGTGTAAGATGGGACAAATACAGACCCTCCTCCCCCTCCATTCCTTAAGCCTAGTCCATGTGGGATGACTTTGGCATTCAGGTGGATTAGATGGCAGGACCAGCACTGCATCTCTGCAGAGTCCCTTAGGCACTTCCAGAAAGGACAAGGGAAAATACCTTCAGGGTGAGATTCTGGAAAACTGGCACTTTCCAAGTCCTAGCCTCTCTCGCTAAGGCATTTTCCAGGAAGAAGGCAAGTCTCGAGCTCTCTGGAGGTCCGGGGCACTTCATGGCAAGTCTTTGAGCCAGTTTCCCTGATGGGAGCCGCTGTCAAAACCAAGAAAAGAATTATAAAGCAACATCCCAGCTGCTTGTACTAAGTATGATTTCCTCTCGTGATGCCTTTCCAATGCTGAGAACTAAGTCGGGAGCAGCCATACGACTTGTTTGTTTGCAGACAGAGCAATCCTGTCATCCATCTTCCCAGGGGGAAGCTCAGGATGAAAGAAAACATATCAGATGGCTAAACAACAGTGCAGTCGAGCTTTTTTCCTCCCGGGCTCTGTAAAGGCTTGCTTGAGTAACCTTGGGTGAGCAGTACCTATTACTCCATTTACCTTGTTTCACATTCAGCTCTCCGTTTGCAGAGCTATTAAGTTGCAACCCGTTATCACCCGATTTCAGGTTTCTGGCAAATAGAGGTCTATTGTTTCTGTACAAAAGCTCAAAGATGACTGTTCTTAGGAGGTTTATTACCTCCCAGTCAACAGTTTTCCTTAAAGCAGTCTAATCTTTCTCTGTTGCTGCTGAGGACGTGCAACAGCAACACTTTGGAAATTCCACTCTCCAGGTTATGCACGTATTTACATCAAATAAACGTTTCTGTATAATATCACACAAGAACCAAGCAGTGAGAACATCTCAGCCTGAAACCGAGTATTTCAATGCTTACATTTTGGTGTCTCTTTAACAGCAGAAAAAATATGGTACCAGATATAAAATTCCTGCTTTTCTTTGTAAAGAGTAGTGGATGTGGGCTCCCGCACCAGTGTTTTCTGGAAGCTCACACCGTTATCTCTACAGCTCCAGTAAAAGCCTCAAAGTGACATGAATCCTCTGGAAACCGTTCCACATTTCTAAAGCTGAAACCGTGATGCCTGTGTTTCACTGAAAGCAGGAACCGCACATGCCTTTGGCTTTCACTGCCGCTGGATGTCGGAGCATCCAAACCTGACTGCCTGGACCATTTCAGCAGAAGGAAAGCTGGAAAAGATTTGTCTGTCCGGTTTGATGCGCTGAAAAGTTTATCCTTCTGTAGTTGGGGAGGGAGGGAGGGGGAAGAATTAATTAAAAGCTCACCCTCCGGCTAATTTGAACGCGACTGTCCCTGAGAACGACACCGAG